CGATACTTTGCAACTTTCCTAAAATATGGGGGTAAATACGAACGCCACTGTATTTCAGAAAAATCTTAGGGAAAATAAATTTAAAGTATTGCCATTGTTAAACTTATATAAAAACTCAAAAAAAATACGATAATAAACCTATTATGTAATAATGCATCATATATAAATACAAAAATCAAACAGGTTAAAAATTAAAATGCATTACACAATTAAAACCTTCAATAACTTTATCAAATCATAACGGATTTTTGCAAAACTTGCTACAGAAAGTATTTTGGAGTGATTGAATGTAAATACAAAAATAAAAGTCAAATTTTTTAAATTCAAAATGGCGGACTTTCCTAAAACTTATTTTTAAAAATGATCAAATTTGCTAACCCTGAAACCCTCCGAGTAACAATTTTCGAGCGAATCCAATGAATTTTTTAATTCTCGTCCGCCATTTTGAATTTTGAAAAACTGACTTCAAATTGGTAATTAGCGACCCCAAAAACCGTAGAATACCAAATTTTATTAAGATCCTGAAAAACTTTTTTCAACAAACCATTTGGCAAAAAAATTGAAACACTCCTTCGAGAGAACAGAGATTAAGTTTCTGCTTATTAATTACTAACGAGGATACGTATAGAAAGAAAAACTTTTTTCCATGTACTTTTATAATGTTAAAATAATAGTGTAATGAAATAAAAAGAATTTTGTGTGGCTCTGATGTAAAAAAAAATTATTGAAAATACCGTTCGGATTTACCCCGGTTTTCCAATTTTCCTGGGTAAATACGAACGGTTTGATATTATTAATAAAATTTTACAGAAGGCAAAAATGAAAAATAGTTTCTGTTCTAGTATTCATAACAAACAATTATAAATAATAAAATAAATTTTTAGCTTCATTTTCTTCAAATACGAGACAAAATACTGAAAGAGTGTCATCTTTGATTTTCAATCTTTTTTGCAATACTCGTTATCTTTGTTTATGCTGTTGCTAATTAACAAACGAAAAATGGGATAATACTTAGAATCTCTTCAAGAGGATCTGAGGTAAAAATTCTCATAACGAACTTATTTTTAAAAATTTTAATTAAGCTGAAATAATTAGCGTTCGGATTTACCCCCCGTTCGGATTTACCCCGGCTGACCCTATTTGAGATTAAATTTTTTTCCCTCGCCGTAATTGAAACATTTTTAAAATTTCCATTGGCCTTAATTACAGCGGGCAAAGTATCTTAAAAATAGACGTGCAATTTTTGGTCACCGTAATTAATACACCGAAACTGATGCAAACGCGCCGTAATAGAAAATGATGATATTAGTTTTAATTTCTCATATTTGTTTAAATAATCGATTTTTATAAAATTTAAAATTTTTTTTTAAATATCTAAATAACATAACCACTTAGTTTAATAAGTCTTAAATTGACATTATACAATAAAAAAAGTCGAGTTTTCTACTTCAAAGGTGTTTTAACTCAAATCGCGCCGTAATTGATGCATTTACCCTATATATCAAAATTTTGTTATTTTGTTAAAAATTTAACAAAATTTTGTTATTTTGTTAAAAATTTTAACAAAATTTAAAAAAAAAAAAAAAAAAAAATGGAAAAACATGGTTAGAGTGATGACATCACAGAACAAAATTCCCGACAAAAGGAATGAGTTAAGTTCCTATTCATTCAGTAGTACGACGATTGCATTTCATGATAATGCACTTAACCTACAAAGAAGGGTCCGTTGCTCCCATTGCGCTGAGACTCGTGTGCGTATTATAAGAGCGTTAATAACAATATGTGCACAGCTCGCTTGTGCAGATAATATTTATTACATATATATATATATATATATATATATATATATATATATATATATATATATATATAGAGAGAGAGAGAGAGAGAAAGAGAGAAAGATTCTACCTTTAAGATTCAATAACTGTCTTTCCACAGAGTTTCAAAAGATTAGATTATAATTTAATTATATAAATATAGGTTACATTTGTAGACACAGAGAAAGAGAGACAGAACATTATTATGTATCCATATCGAAAAAAAAACGATTTTTGAAGTCCCCTCTTGAATATTATATGTTAAATCGCACTGTGACGGAGGACTTTGCAAATATATAATATATTTTTTTCTTTTCATAATCTTATTAATATTTCATAGTTATGATTTTACAGTTTTCAAAAAAAAAAAAAAAAAAATTAATTAATTTTATTGTTATAAACGAAATGAAAAATGTAGGAAATTTAATATTTATTATACCTAATTATATTTTATATAGTATATAAATTTTTATATTTTATATTCTAAAAATTAAATAAATTATGTTGTAGTTATTAATATAAATGTTAATTTTCAAAGAATCGCAAATTTTTTTTTTTTTTCTAAATCTTATATCTTGAACTAAAAATGTAATTAAAACAATAATTTTAAAGTAATGTTTAATTTTTCAAATTTTTTTGTACTATATTAGAGAAATATATAATAATAATATTATTAATAATGATAATAATAAAATTTAAATGAATTATTATTGTATTAAATAAATTGATGAAATAAAAAATTATCTACTTTAGTGATTATTATATGTGTATGTTTATAACATTTTTAAAAATAGTAAACATAACAAATAAATTCTAAATATACACTTCCCTCAACAGTTTTGTATATTCTTATCTTCGTTTCTCTGTATATCATATTCAGGGTCGAGTTTATCGTACGAGGGGCCCTAAGGCATTAAGGAAGTGTCCTCTATTTTATTCAAGTAAATGTCATTTTTTTTTTCATCTCAAAATTATGTTCGGGCTATATTTTTTATATACGTTATAATTTTGAGAAACAATTTTTTAAAAATTTTATAAATTTATTTTTTTGAATATTGTTTTTTGCAAATATATATTTTTTTCACAATATAATATTAATTATTATAATTATTATTAATATTATTATTATTATATTTTTTATTATTATTATTATTACTCTTAATTCAAGAGTAAACTATTCTAAATTTTAAATATACTCTTATTTTAAGAGTAATTTATACTAAATTTGAAATAAACCTTATTTTAAAAGTAAACTACTAAACTTTTAATATACTCTTATTTAATATACTCTTATTTCAAGAGTAATTTATACTAAATTTGAAATAAACCTTATTTTAAGAGTAAACTACTAAACTTTTAATATACTCTTATTTCGAGAGTAAACTATACTTAATTTTAAATGTACTCTTATTTTAAGAATAAACTGTACTCAATTTTAAATATATTCTTATTTTAAGATTAAATTAAATTACTTAAATGATTTTTTAGGTACGGAATTTTTTTGTTTGTTTTAAATTAAAATTCAAAATATTTATTGATAGCTACATATTTTTTTATGTAAATACATTTTTTTTTTTATTGACTGATAAAAAATACAAATTTTTTATAAACAAAATCCATTGAAAACTTTATTATTTTTCAAGTTGTATGCGGGTAACATATTTGTAATTAAATTAAATTTTCATGTTTACTTTAAAAAAAAAAAAAAAAATTGATAATTTAAAAACATGAATTTTATTATTTTATTAGATTTATATTATTTTTTTTTTTATTATTGTTTTATCAGAGCTATAAAATGTTTTCATATTTTTATAATCTACTTTCTAATTTTCTAAATTTTTGTTAACTTTCACAAATTTTTTTTTTTTTTTCCTTTTCATTAGTGTCGTATGTAAAGTATTATTTTTTTTAGCGAGAAAAACAAGTCCCACTTCTACATCAAAATAAAAATATTCTTATTTTGAAAGGAAAATTTCTCTTCTAAAATCCTCTCAAATTTTATACTTGAAACAAGAATTTCAACAACTCTTGAATGAAGAGTACGTTTTCTCTCTTTTTAAGAGGATTTCAATAATAGGACTAATTTATCATATTCCTCTTACATTGAGAATAATTTTTTTTTGTTAAATGACAGTAATATTCTCAGAACTTGGATTAATATTTTTGGTTTAATAGATATATTATTCCTCTAATTTATAAGATAATTTCCGAATGGAAAAAACGAAATTCTAAAATTTAATAATTTCTTCTTGGCGCTTATTTAAGAATATTTATCATATATTTTATTATTATTATTATTATTATTATTATTATTATTATTATTATTTAGTTAGAATATAATAGTCTTAAAATAAGAAATAATTTTTAAATTTGAGAAATATTCTTCTTTTAAGAATATTATTATTATTTTGAATCTATTATAATCTAACTGTAAAAAGAAAATACATGGTTAGTTTTTCATTTTTATTTACGAATATCCTCTAATATTAAGAAGAAGAAGAATAATAATAATCTTATGAAGATGACAGTCCTCTCAAAATAAGAGGGAAAATTTTATGACAATCTTCGCAAATTAAAAGGAATAATATTATAATACGTAGAAGATATTCCTATCAAATTAAGAGGATTAATCTTATGTAAAGGACAGTCCTATCCAAATTAAGAGGAATAATCTCATTTAGATGACAGTCCTCTCAAATTAAGAGGAATAATCATATGTATTGAAGATATTCCTTTCAAATTTAAGAAAAATAATTTTATGTAGAGGACGGTCCTCTTAAATTAAGAGGACAAACTTTTGGATTATATTTTAGAGGAAAATATGTATTAAAATAAGAGGAATCCTCTCAAAACAAGAATATTTTTTTTCAGTGTCTGTCTAGATTTGGCACTGTTTTTTTTTTTTTAAATTATTGTTGCATTCATTATTATTTTTTTTTTACCTTAATTTCTTTATGTTACAAAATTCTTTTTCTAATTCAAAAAATGCGATAAAATCAATTTTATTTTTTTCTATATGTTGAGGAATCTTGAGTTTATGTTTTACACATATATATATATTTGTATGTATGGGTGAAGTTCTGAAAACTTCGTTTGAAAAAATTTGAAAAGAGATAATATCTTCAACCTTCACTGATTTCTTTTTTTTTTCTAATGATTTTTTGTTTGTATCTTTGATTTTAGATTTTTGGAGGAGTCGAAACATGAGTGTCTTTTAGGTGCTTTTTTTCCCCCTGATCTCTTCGAATTGGGTCTGATTTATATATTCGTGTAGAGTGAACGGAAAGGGGAGGATCATGGAATTTTACGACGTGGGAACAAGCGACTTAAGGGAGCTATGGGATACCTATCTCATAGAACCGGTAAGTAAAAGCCCTCATGATTCGAATACCAGGAATTTTTTTTTTCTTTTTTCCTTTATTTTCACCATCCCCTATATATATACACACACACACAAGCTTTATATTGTATGCTGTATTGTGTTAAATTTTATTATTCTACACATTAAAGTACATTTATATTATACGATTATGTATTTAACACTAATATTATTTTCCATTTTATTATATATATATACGTATTAAAATATATGCCATAAAAAATTTACTATAATTGTTCACCATTGATTTTATGGTAGACGAAATTTATTTCAAAATCAGGCAGGCTGAAACGTCATTTTTTTTTTCTCATTTTTACATTTGAAAGAGCATTCATTTTCTTTCAAAATTCGTTGGAAATATTAAAAAATATTCAAAAACGAATTTTTATTGATTTCAATTATTATTTGATATAATTTTCATATAACCGATTTTTCATAATGCAGAAGTTTTACTTAACCGAAAAATCATTTAACAGAATTTCTAGTTGATAGAATTTTCATTTGTCCGAAATTGCAAATGGCCGAACAAACAATCGATTTTGGCGCGATTTTGCAAATCAACCAATCACAATTTTATGGATAATTATTTTGATTGGTTGATTTTAAAAATCGCGCCAAACTCGATTGTTCGACCATTTGCAATTTCGGACAAATGAAAATTCTATTTAGAAATTCTGTTAAATGATTTTTCAATTAAGTAAAAATTCTCTAGTATATGAAAAATCGGTTATATGAAAATTATATCAAAAATAATAATTCGAACAAATGAAAATTCATCTGAAAGAATAAAATGAAAATTCTATGCAATGAAATTTTACCCAATGAAAATTCTTTAAAATGCGCCTATTATGTTAAATGAAAATTCGTGCAAATAAAAATTTGTCTCAAAAATAATTATGACAAATGAAATTCCATAAAATGAAAGTTCTAATTAATTACTTTTAGAACATAATCATGCGTCTTAAATATTTAATAAAAATAAAAAAAATAATTTCTTTGCAGTGATAAGTTTAAAGAAGCCCTGTAAAGATAATTTTTTATAATAACAAAGATGTCAGTTACATAATTTAATCTTTCTATTAAATCTATAAACATAAATCGCTTTTCCCTAAGCAGAAAATGTTATAATCTCTGAATCGTTGCGATCAAATAGATATTAAAATATTTCTCAAAAAAATTAATTGCAAAAAAAAATGAACGTAAACATTTTTTGGATATTTTAAATTAAATTCATTTTTTATGATTTTTTTTTTTTCAATTCAATTTTTAATTCTTCAATATTAAAAAAAAGATATAAAAAATGTAGCGAAATATACATAAAAATAGAAAAATCTTAATTTTATTTTAAATAAAATATAAATAATTGTCTAACTTATATTGGTGAAAAGAAAATTTGGAAATAATAATTTTTATTAAAGATCTGAATTTTTATTCTAAAATTTAGAATATTATTTAAATATTTACAATATTTTTTTAATATCATTGTCAATTAATAGTTTTTTTTTTTTTTTTTTTTTTTTTTTTTTAATATCCCGGAAGTCAATATTTATTTATTTATTTATTTATTTAGAACATAACGGGACATGCCCTTTCGTACAAAAGTACTCCTAAATTCTAATAGTTACGTAAGTAACAATACAAAATATAAAATATTAACTAAATCTAGGTAGGCGCTATAATGGCTAAAGTTCATTATAAGTTTATAATATGTCGACACTCTTGCTATTCGGCAATTAATATTTCATCAGAGAACGTGAATTATTATTTGTCGTCAGGAATAATAAGTTTTGAAAGCTTAAAATAAAAAACGAAAATTGCAAACGTTTTTGAAAATTAATTACACTAATCCTTTTTTTTTTTTTGTTTAATACAAAAATAATGCAATTTCTCTAAGTTGTAAATTTTATTTTCTAAACTGAAAGCGCTTTCAGAAAATTTCGCTTGGAAATTCCACTTTATGAAAATTGCAATCTAATATGGAAATTCCAATTGGAAATCTTTTTAAAATTCAATTTTATCTGCAATTTTTATATTATTTTTAAGAGTCAATTTTTTGAAAATATACTTTTTTATCATTCCGAACAAACATGGATTTTTAAATTTTCATTTTTTTTCAAAAAATAAAAATTCAAACTATTAAAATTAATAGTTAATTTAATTAATTTTATCTATTAACAATATTAACTACTAATCCCTATCCTTAAACAAAATTTCCAGTCGGAATTTTATGGAAGCGCTTTCCTATGGTTAATTTGTAAAACAAAAATTTCTAATTTATAGAGATATCATTAAATTAATTTTAATAAACAATAAAAAATGCTTCATTTTATTAATAAATATAAATTAAATAATAAATCAATTAATTTTTTTCTGAGATGTAAATAATTTTTGTCAAGTCAAATGAGTGCAATGAACTCTTAATATTGTGCAAAAATGTCAAAACGTTTAATAAATTGTTTCAAAACGTGAACGGAAACGATGCGATGAAGTGTGTGTATCGAATTAGTAAGATTTTTTTTTTTTTTTTTGAACGAAGTAAAACAGTTTTTTTTTTTTTTTTTTTTAATTGTTTTGCTTTTCTTTGAAAATATTAATTTCCTTATTTTTGTTATTAAAAAAAAAAAATTTCCTTTTTGTCCAAAAAAAATAACAATAATAAATGTAAATTAAAAAAAAAATTTGTAATTTAGATTTTTCAAAATTAGTGTCAGAAATTGAAATTCCGTAGATTTGTAAAATTTTTCAAAAACAATCCATTTAAATTTCCCCATATTAATGGGCATTCTTTCTTAAACGACCACAGTAAAAAATTTTTTAAAAAATTTGCTAAATTATTGCCCTACAAAAGAGAATAAAAAATAACTAAAATTTCAACTGAACAAAAACAAAAATCCTCCACCAATATATTAACGTTTTTGGCATATGTTTGTTTATTCGTTGTAAAAACCCTCCTACAGAACGAAACTGAAAGTCAACTGTACGACTTCTAAAATGTGACACTGTCACATTTCGGATCCTCCACCCATATATTAACGTTCTGGCATCTGTTTGTTTATTCGTCGTAAAAACCCTCCTACAGAACGAAACTGAAAGTCAACTGTACGACTTCTAAAATCTGACACTGTCACATTTCGGATCCTCCACCCATATATTAACGTTCTGGCATCTGTTTGTTTATTCGTCGTAAAAACCCTCCTAAAAAACGAAACTGAAAGTCAACTGTACGACTTCTAAAATGTGACACTGTCACATTTCGGATCATCCACTCATATATTAAACTTTTGGCATTATAATATATACAAATATCTTTTGATCTGAATTTAAAAAGCCACGAAACCCTAGATGTAGGCGCTTTGCGCATGCTTATCATTTCCTGATTTTTTATGTTACTTTTTATGTATAAGTATTATTTAAATAACAAAAAAAAGTTGTTTAAAAAAAAAAACTTAACCTTTTTTTTCAAAATATTCTTATTTTTCAATTATGGCACGATTTTTTCTAACATATATATGAAAACTTACCCCAAAGGGATTTTAAAAATCTCACAATCATATCTTAAGTTTACCTTTTTATGTTTGCCACTTGACGTTTTCATTTACTAATAAACTTAGTGTTAGTTTGGGTTCATCTCTTTTCAAAAAAAGATAAGATTAGAATAATAGATTATAGAGATAAAGTATTATTACTTAAGAAAGTCACACAATTTTAGGGAAAGAACCATCATTTGGTGTGTTATAATAATTATGATTATTATCATTTGTTATATATATATATATATATATATATATATATATATATATATATATATATATATATATATATATATATATATATATATATATATATATATATATGTTACAAAATAAAAAAAGATAAAAACTAATGTAGAAATTAAATACAAAATCAAATTTTTATTATTATATATATTTATATTATATAATAAAAAAATTTTATTCAGCAAAAATAAAATTTTACTTAGAGGAAATAAAATTTTTCTTTAAAACAACAAAAAAAAATTGTTTTTTTTAAATTCGAAAAAAAGTTTAAAAATTTTTTTTGTAATAATTTTTTCTTTATAAAAATTGTCTTAAAAAATTTGTCATTTTTCTTCTATAGATTTATTTACTGCAAAAAAAAAAAAAAAAAAAACGAAAAAAAATGATTTTAACTTAAAGCAAAACTGTGTTTGCAAGTAAAGAAAAAAAATCATTTGAGTTTAGTTTAGCGAACTACTTTTGCGATAGGGGAAAATTGCCTACGATAAAATTTATCACTGACATTTGAAGTGACATTCATTACAATTTGCGTTTGTGTATTATAAAAGAAATATACATATGTCGCTTTGGTTCATAGGAATTACTAACAAATTTTTATTTATTTTTTTTTTTTTGTTATTATTATTATTCTCCATTATTATTTTATTATTAAAACTAGATTTCTTTCTATTATTAAAATTTAATTTTAATGGAAAATAATAATTTTGTCAAAAATAAATGAATTTATTAAAAAATTTTAATTTTAAAAATTGTAATATTAAAAATTGTTGTCAATATCAATTTTTTCAAAAAATTGCAAAAATTATAAAAAAATTTTATTGAAACTAGATTTTTCTATCAATAAATATAGAAAAAAAAAGTTTATAAAATATTTTAAAATTCGTTAAATTAAATACAAACAGTTAAATTAAAATTCAATTATCAAAAAAATAATACAAGCATTTAAAAAAGGAGGTATCGAAAATCATTATTTATTTTCAAAAAAGAAAGTATTGAAATTTTTTGTTATTTATTTATTTATTTTTTTTTTTTTTTGCAAAAGTATTGAAAATATAATCATTGCCCTAGTTATTTAATATATATATACTTACATTAGAGACAAAGATCAGCTGACTTTTAAAGACATTGCAAACACAATTATTTCTGATATGGAAATTGTATATATTGATAAAATAATTATGTTTATACAGCCACATAAACATAATGA